GCCATTCCTACTGAAACGCACAAGACATCGTGCAAGATTTTTGTCCTCAAATAAACTGCTCAAATAATTGCAGCATATTGCGTCGCCATTTTGGCAGATCTGCTGCGCTGACCAGTCGAAATATGTACTGGCAAAGCACTTTTCATCTTTGAAAGTAAAAGCACTCGTTTTAGCAAGTTTTCCACAGGCTGTTTCTAAGTCTCTGAGTACTTCCAAACTCATGTTGAAATTTCTATTTCGGATGAGTGAAAATGAACCTTTAGGTTGAAACATTGCTCGGAGATCTGAAGGAAGGAAACCCCAAATTATGGTCACTGACATAGGCATTTTGTACTTGGCTAAAGGGAATCTGAAATGAAGTTCACCGTGTTCATCGTACCATTCGAATGGATGCGCTGGGCTGAATAATATCAGTGGATTTCTCCTTGGTAGCGACAAACCTGGCTTATAGAAAACGACGACAAACGAGACAGCAAACAGTGCACTAAAAATGAATAGCCAAAGAAACTTGAGATTTTTGACTAGGAACGGCAACCACTGTTCAGTGAGATGAGTGGAGAAGAGCGCTGCGCCGGCATGCAACGTGTCAGTCATGACGAAGAACATTTTTGGACAGCGCTGGTTTATGAATGGCTCAATGTAGCGATCAAGGATGATGAGTGATGCCGGCAGAATTGATATGACCAAGAGGTAGTTTGTCAGAATCGCTGTTCCCGCGAAAAGCCCGAAGCATTGCATGACGATAACTTTGCTGACTATACAGGCGTAGAAGGCGGAAGCCGTCGTAGCACTGGTGACAAACATCGCCACAGCAGAGTAGGACAACGCGTTTGAAACATGTTGGGCAGTGACCTGCTTTGAACCATCTACTTTGAATGAGTCAAAAACGTATTTTAAAACAAAGGTGTCGTCAGCCCCAATTCCGATCAGAAGCACGACCACCATCAGGTTCATGAACGGAAAGAAGGCGATGCGGAAGACGGTGGTGTAGATGAAATAAGCGGTTCCGACTGACAGCACAATCGACGCAATGACAGTGATGGTGTAGAAAAACGATTTGGCATACAACCAAATTACTAAGGCAATAAGGCACAATCCTAGCACGGGGTAAATCGAATCGTTGAGCAGAATCATTTCCAATACTTCCAGCTTGATACCTAGATTGGCTCCAACGATGGTAACCTCAGACAGATTTCCGTCCAGCTTGATCGCTTCTTCATAAACTGTCATAAAACTCTTCCAGCTGACATTCTTTCTCTCAAAGTACACGTACGTGTTGTACTGCAAAATCGGCAGAGCGACTATCGTATAGACGGGTGCAGACGATTTGGCGAAAATGTTGTCGGAGAGCACGAAGTAAAACAGGTGGTAATAGTAGCTGGAGTCACACTCTTTGGGAATTTTGAAGCAGATTTTATTCTTCGTCTCTCCTTTACATTTTAATATTTCCTCTTTGAAGGAGACACAAAACTGAATTGCTTTCGCCACATTTTGGACGTTGCTTTCCTTCAGATTCGCGCACGTGAGTTCACCGCTGAAGCACGCCATGTAATTGACCAAGCTCCAAAAAT